TTAAATGATGATCAAAAGATCTTTATACAAGAAAAGATATTCTGTTCTGCTGTCCACACCTGTTTCTGGAAAGTCATGATGTTCATTTCAGTTTTCAGTGCCTGAGGAAGTATGAGTGGCAATTGCTTTGGAACAAGAAGCAAACAATAATGGAATTCATTAGCGAGTGTTACAAATATAAACATCTTTATTGTTGACATTTCTTTAAGGATTCTCACATGAGGGAAAGGCACTTTTAATTTCCACTCTGACAGCCTCTCAGGCAAAGTGGCTGTATTCCTGTTCCTGAGGTAGAGATAGATGCCATGGAAATACTCCCAGGCAGGAAGTCCCAAATGAGGACAGCACAGATGGTCTCCTTCCACCTGCTCCAGTTGTTTCAGGCTCTGATCCGGGCTGCAGAGGAGTTTCCAGCAGAGTGTTGTTCCAAGTAGCACGGCTGTCTCCGTGGTGAAGAGTTGGAAGCTCTGCTGAGCATCAGATAGTGGTTGCAGGGGCCATGAGTCATCTGCATTGGAGTGATCATCTCTCTTTTCCAAGGAAATCTGAAGTCGGCCTGTCATTTAGGCGCGACTGAGAGCGGATCCTTTGCATCTGTTTCAAGCGTTTGAAGATATCCATGTTCTTCCTGGCAGTGGCTCCCAGGCACGTTCCAGCGAAGAGAGCAAGCAGGGATGCAGCAGAGCATCACTCCTTCCTCCAGCAAGTGGAGGCGGGCCATAGAGAACGTCAGTGATTCTGCAGACGGCCGGGAGGGGGCGCGCGAGCACCGCGAAACGACGAGCAAACAGCGCTGAGATGGAACCGCAGACCGCCTGCTTCTCCAGGTGACTGCGAGAGCGCGCTCGCTGTGGTTGGATCGTTTCTGTTTTCGAATCGCAGTCTTGGGAGAGCTTGCTCGCGTGGGGCTGCTGGAGAGACAAGGCGCAAAATTTCCAGAGAGCCTTTTATAGGAGCACTGAATCAGGGGTGCGCATATCATTAGCCCTTTTGTGGAAAAGGCCCGGTTTCCGCTGTCCTGAGTAGGGAGCCAGAAGATTGCATTTTCGGAAACATCGCCTGAGTAGTGGGCTTTTTTTCCAAACGTCAACCCGAACCAGGCCATGTCTGAGGAAAAGAACCCCCAAGGTGGGGGTTCTGAGCGAGATAAGGCTGATTTTACAGATTGGGGCTCGCTTCCGGCGCGAGGGTACCACAGCTCAGAGAAAGGGACTGGGCAGCGGTGATCGGATTATTGACGATTTGAGGATGGGACAGCGTTGTGCCCAAAGTGAAACCAGAGGGTGAGCAAGAGACTCCTTTGCCGGCTCATAGGAGCTGTTGCTGACAAAGTGAAACAAGGTATCCGGGGTGAGACTACTAGCTGTGCCTCGTTGACGGGGGTGGGGGTGGGGGTGGGGTCGTGGCGAACACGCTGAAACCCCGCGTTGGCTTGAAGACGCTAAGCTGTGGAAGGGTGGGAGGGCGTTGTGCACCAGGTGACACACAGCTGCAGCGCTGACTATTGACTGTGTGGCGATGGGGGCGGGGGCGGGTGGGCGTTGCGCACCAGGAGCGCGGCGGCTCAGAGACTGTTCTCTGCGGGACCCTGCTGGGGCGTGCCCACTGTGGTCGAATCGCGCGGCGGCTAGGAGACGGTTTGCTGTGGGATGATGGGAGAGCGTTCGGGATAAAGTGGAACACAGTGGCCGCGATGAAACTATTGGCTTTACCACGATTGGGGTGGGGGGCGGAGTGGGGGCCGGGATGGACGGTCGAATCCAGCCGTGGATCTGAGACTATTCGCTGTGGGACTATGGGAGGGAGTGCGGAACAAAATGAAATAGAGTGGCCGCAATGACAGTATCGGCTATGGGGCGATACCCGGCGGTGGCGATGAGACTATTTGCTATGGGATAATGGCAAGAGTTGAGGTCAAATTTAAACCCGGCGGTGGGGATGAGACCTTGGGTGATCTGAGTATGGGACAGCTTTGAAGAAAAGTGAAATACCACGGGGGAGATGGGATTATTGGCGACGGGAAGACAGGACAGCGATGTTGTGCACGAAGGGGAACCCGGCGGCGGCCGTAAGCCTCTAGGCGATGGGACCATGGGCGGACGTTGGGCATAAAGGGGAAACTGGTGGTGGCTTTGAGAAGAGTGGACAGCGTTGCAGACAAAGTGAAAGCCAGCATCGGCGACGAGACATTTATTTGTCTACGGGGACTATGCGAGGGCGTTGCTCACGTAGGGGAACCTGGCGCTGGCTAGAAGGCTATTCCCTATGGCACGATGCGAAGGCGTTATGCACAAAGTGAAACAGGGAGGTGGGGTGAGACCTTAGGCAATGTCCTTGGAGTTGTCGTGAAACACCGCTTTGCCGATGAGCCTATAGGCGCTGGGACCATGGGAGGTCGTTGGGCAAAAAGGGGAAGTCGGCGGTGGCAACGAATCTTGGGTTTCAGAGGACAGTGTTGCGGACAAAACGAAAGCCAGCATCGGCGTTGAGATAGACAGCTTTGAGACTATTGGCTTTTGGGACGATGCCTAGAGGCGATGAGACCTTGTCAGGACATTGCAGACAAAAGAGAACTCGGCGGTGGCTAGCAGAGTATTCCCTATGGCACGATGGGAAGGCGATGCGAACAGAGTGAATTTCAGCCCTGCAGTGGGGATGAGACTTTGGGCGATGGGACCGTCGGAGGGCGTTCCGGACAAAGGAGGACCCTGAGATGGCGATGAAACTATCGATGTTTGCGCTGAGAAGTTGGAGGGCTTGCGGAAAGTGTAAAACAGCGGAGGCGATGAGAATATTGGCGATAGGACGCTGGGACAGAGTCTTGCACAACGTGAAATCCGGCTGTTGCAGATAAGACAGTTGGAAAGTGTTGCGGACAAAGTGGAAGCGGACGTCTCGGATGAGATAAGAGGCTATGAGGCAATGGGTGCGGCGTCGCGCTCACTTTAAATGCCGCGGGGGCTAAGATTATTCGCTGTCTGAAGATGGGAGTGCTGTGTGCTCAAAGTGAAGCACCATGGAAGCGATGAGACTTGGCTATGGGGTGATGGGAGGGCGTTTCTCATATAGGGGAACCCGGCTTGGCTTTGAGACATGAGATAAGAGGCTATGAGGCAATGGGTGCGGCGTCGCGCTCACTTTAAATGCCGCGGGGGCTAAAATTATTCGCTGTCTGAAGATGGGAGTGCTGTGTGCTCAAAGTGAAGCCCCGTGGAAGCGATGAGACTTGGCTATGGGGTGATGGGAGGGCGTTTCTCACATAGGGGAACCCGGCTTGGCTTTGAGACAAAACGTGACGGTGGCGGAAAAGCTACTGGTGGTGGGACGATTGGACAGTTTTGAGACAAAGTTAAACCCGGCGGTGGGATGAGACTATCGGACGGTGGACGGTGTGGTCCACACAGGGGAACCTGGAAGTGGCGACGAGACCATTCGCTGTGGCAAGATGGAAATGCGTTGTGCCCAGTGAAACACGATGGCAGCGACGTGACCTTCGGTTAGAGTTGATGGAACGGCCTTGCGGACAAAGTGAAAGCGGGTCTAAGCGATTGTGACAATAGGCTTGGGGCGGTGGAACCGCGGTGTGGACATAGTTAAAGCCGGCGATGGGCGTGAGACTGTGAGAGATGGGAAGATGCGAGGGCCTTGAGCAGAAAGGGGAGCCAGGGGGAGCCTTTTTGGACAAGAGGAGAAACAGCCAAGGCGATGGGACCCTGGGAGTGCGTTGCAGACAGAGAACTCAGTGGCGGTCAGGGGACAAATAACCGTGGAACGGTTTGGGGGACTTTCTGGGGGTGAGAAGAACGCGGCCACCACCTACCTGGGTCAGGGACCAGAGAACTGTGCGCCCCTGGAATGCTCTGGAATTTTCAGGGTCTTTCAAGGATTCGGCCTTGAAGTGGAGGAGTAAGTGTTGAATAGCTGAAAACTAGGAATATTTTAAAAAGCACAGCACTTTTTTTTTGGAATTAATTTTATATTGAATTATATACTTATTTTAACTTAAATATTTCACATGTTTCCAATTTTATAATAAATTTATATAAGGTATTTTAAATATTAGACATAGACTATTAAAATATATTTTGTACATAACAGTAACATTTTATTAAACTTTATTTAAACTATATTTTCTTTGTACTAAAACATTTAATATCATTTTACTTTTCTATCTTTGATGGATGTAAACAATATTTTCAAGATTACTTTTCACTTATTTTTAATCGAATGAATTAGCATGTTTGACAATTTCTGATGACCCCAAGACAGTCTTAAGTAATTTTTGACTCATGTTCCTGAAATCTCTTTCTGAGGACTACGGTGTTGGAAATAAGTGTTGGACTGTACAAGCAGCTGAGGACATTTAGAAGGGCAGAATTTTTCATTTCCTTTAGTAAGAATTTTAAAAATTAAGTGGAATTTGCCCAAATTTTATTGGCATCAAGAAGGCTTACTTTGTAAGACTCTCAAATGTAAGGTGGTGTACATTTTCCCCCTGTTGGAAAAAAAAAAGAGAAAAAACCCCCACATCATATAGACGGGTCTTACAGCATGAGCTGTCTGGTACATTTAAAGAAAACAAGAAAAGAGCAGGTAAACTGTATGGATCCATGGAGAGGATGCATATAACTTGGTCATTCCACACGGCTTCCTTGTATTTTAAATTCCTCAAAGGCAGGGGCCGAAAACTCCACCACTCTGCAGGCTTCTTTTGCAATGAATGTCTCCAAGGTGCTCTGCAATTTTTAATATTTGTTGTCACATAAATCAAGTTGACATTGAAACTGCCACGTTGACTTCTGTTTCATAAATAATTTATTTCCCATAACAAAGTTTAAATAAATAAATAATGCGTACATCAATTTAAAAATAACTTGCAGTCTTTAACTGTCTATTGAAGTCCAGTGCATCACATTGACAGTTACTTCAAAGCCTCTGCTGGCTGGAATCTCATGTCAAAGTCACATTGTCCATTCCCAGAGCCGCAGGTGGGGAGATGTTCAGTCAAGGAGGTAACCCGTTAGTCTCTTCAGGACAGAAAAGATCCTGAGCATTTCCGCTCTCACGATTATCCAGGCACAAATGTTGTACTCCGTGGACTTCAGGTACTGCCCAAGGTTGGAGTAATAGTTCTTCAGGTTAAGAACGGTCATGTCTCCTATAGTGAAGCTTTCCTTCTGGATTGGCTCCAGACGATTCATCTGCCCTTGGAGTTCCACAAGGAGGTCCTCAATGATGGTCTCAGACCAGCCAGTGCTGGAGAAGTCTCTGGTGAGAATTCCGAAGATCTGCTGGAGCGTCTCATACATGACCAATATGGCATCTTCCTTCCGGAACTTCTGTGCTTTCTTCATCTCCTCAGGGACCTGGAAGTGCATCTTGACCTCAAGGCAATGTTGAGGAGTTGAAGGTAACTCCCTCAGGAGTTTCTGACACACCTTAATGCTCCTCCTTTGCTGGAATCGAAGCAAGCTGTAGCTTGTGGAAAGGGCTGTGGTGGAGAAACACAGCAGGAGATCCATCTGGAGGAGGCACCGGTAGGTCATGATGGAAACAGGCTCAGGGCTACCTGTTCTGCTAGTAGATGCTGAAGCTGAATCTTCGAGTTTGCAGAGTGAGTGTCCTTCCGCCTTGAGTGTGGCGGAATGACCCTCCATTCTTCTTGAGAGGAATTTTCCACTTTCCATTCTCCTTTTTAGTTTTCTCATGTCGTTTAAATGATTAGTTACCTCTAAAACTCTTTTTCTTATAAGTTCCTTGCTTTTCATACAGTCTGGAAGAATTTCTAATGTTTTTGTAGATTTTCAGTGACTTGCTAAATGCTAAAAAAATAGCCTAATCAATTTGAATTACAGCAAGTTTCTTTCATTGGGAAAAGATCTTTGTTTTTATTTTTTCATATTATTAGATTCTGTGAAACGGTCTTTATTTCTAAGAGTTTTTGATTTTATAAAAAAATGTATTTTTTATATCTAAAATAGAATGGTGTAAGCTAAGTTCATCTGAAATATTTTGTAGGCCTCAACCATAAGCAGCAAGATATTACATAACTTTGTCAGCCAAAATTTATTGCTTTATTTGACAATCTCAAACTATCCCAAATATAACTAAAAAGTAAAGATTAAGTAATATGTCTATTTAGGCAAATGAATGTTACACAGACCATGCATAAAAGTCCATGATTCCTCTTGTAGGGATCCTTTGTGACAATTGCTGAGGCCTGATGCATATTTATTTTGTACATACTTCAAATAATCTAAATATCTGATTTTGCACACTAGGGTAAGGATGCAGCAAGCAGGAAAATTCTTTGCTCCTCACTTTGTAGAACTGCTTGTACATGAACTTTTCCTCATAATGAAAGAATGTCTGTGAGATAGAATTCTTAGGTATTTTCATAATTTGCTTTGAAAGAATTAAATAAATGTTACTACAAATTTTACCCTTTCTTTTCTCACATTTAAATTTTTTCTATAAGGAATTTATTTTTTGGTATTAGAAAATAAAAAGCACCTAGTTATGTTCAAAAGCAGGGCATAAACTTTTAGATACAATGCAACTATGTAAAAGTATATAGGAAAATAATAAACTAAAGGAAATATACTAACATTTTTATAGTAATTATGTTTGACTTGCGAAAATAAATGGTGATTTTTATCCTTTATGTGATTTTTCAATATGCTACCAGAGAATGTATTCAGCACTGCTCAGAAGAAATATAATTTCTTAAAATTTTTAAGAAATTTTAAATTTCTTAATTTAAAATTTTCTAGTAGCCACATTGAAAGAGGAAAAAGAAACAAGTGAGGTTAATCTTAACAGTGTATATTATTGAACATGAAATATCCAAATGTTATAATTTCAACACATACCAATATAAAATTAATGAGATAGTTACATTCATCTTTTCGTAGTTCCTTCAAAATACAGTATATACTTTTACAGTCGTAGTACACCTAAGATTGGACTAGTCAAGTGCTCACTTGGCCTCTTGTAGTTGATGTCATGGTGGCCAGCACAGCTCAAGATAGAGGAAGCAGCTTGATCAGAGAGCCAGGAAAATTCCCGAGTTTGCAGGAACCACACAGAAGGAGCTTCAAGTTGTGGATGAGTTATGCTCTAAGAATCAAGGGAATCAATGGTGGAAAATCAGCTCAAGATGTATTCAGGACACTCTTGAATGCCAGCGTGTGACTTTGTACTTAATTCGAGAAGTCTCCAGGCAGACAGGGCGCTAGGTTGTGCCCTGGACAGAAGAATGGGCCCAGGTGTTGTTGGGAACTGAAGCAGGCAGAAGTCCTGCCCAGGTGCCCTCCTGGCTGTAGGACTGGAAGTAGAGAGCAGAGTGAGGACCTGGAAGCAGGGGGTGGGTGCGGAATTGTAAACACCAGTTCCTTCTGCTTTCTTCCCTTTGTCCTCCTCCCATGTCCTGCTGTTGTGTTCATGAACTGCTTCCTAATCGGTCTCTTTCAGTTGCCTTCATGGAGTTTATATTGATTTTTGTCAATAGAATTAATTTTGCTATGAAAGTCCTTGTATGTATTCTTTCTTGCGCATTTGTATAGCCTTCTATTGGGTATATGGCCTAGGATGAAGTAATAGGGTAATAAAATGTGCATATGTTCAGATTTAGTAGATAATAACAAACATATTTTCCAAATGTTTGCAGCAATTTATATTCTCACTATCAGAGAATGGGATGTTAGTTGCATTACTTTCTTTTCAACACTTGGTGTTGCCTGTCTTCTTAATTTTAGCCATTCTAGTGAGGCATAGTGATGTCTTATTACAGTTTTAACTCATATTGCCTAATTGTTTCTAAGGTTCAACACAATTTTCATATGCTTATTGACCATTTTGAATATTTTCTTTGTGAGGGGCCTGTTCAAATACCTTGCTGATTGTCTCAGGTAATTTTTTTCTATCTAAAGATGATATAATTGGGTACATACAAAATACAAAAGAATATATAAACTATTAGAATTTTAAAATAAATTTAACAAGTCACCAAAAAGAAGTTCAATTTTAAAATCAATCACCTCTTTTTACACTAGCAATAAAAATTGGAAATTGACATTTCAAAATGATACCACTGATAAGAACATAAAAAGTCTATTACTGAGAAATTGTCACAGCCTGGAGGTGCCTAAGGAAACATGGAAATTAATAAAATGTGCCATTCTAAATAGCATCCCAGAACAGAAAAACAACACTGGGTAGAAACTAAGGTGATCTGGGAATTCCCTTGAGTTTCAGTGTCTGGAACTCCATGCTTTCAGTGCAGGGCACCCATGTTGGATCTCTGGTTGGGAATCTATGTAATAAGATCCCACAGTTCTCATAGCCTTAAATAAATAAATAAGTAAAAATAAAAATGAAGTTACTTCAAACAACGGGGGTGAATGGGTAGGTGGGGGAATAAGGAAATCTGAATAAAGTGTAGATTTCAGTTTTTTTTTTTTAAGTAGCTTTGACAGGACACTTTATCTTCACCTTTGACCTCAGCTGAAATTCCAATACTTTGGCCACTTGTTGCAAAGAATTGACTCATTGGAAAAACCCTGATGCTGGGAAAGATTAAAGGCAGGAGGAGAAGGGGACAACAGAGGATGAGATGGTTGGATGGCATCACCGACTTGATGGACATGAGTTTGAGCAGGCTGTGGGAGTTGATGATGGACAGGGAAGCCTGGCGTGCTGCAGTGCATGGGGTTGCAAAGAATTGGACATGAGTGAGCAACTGAACTGACAAGTCTATAATTTCATTTTTGATTCATATTAGATGGCCAGAAGCCAGTGAAAAATATAAGTTTTTTCTCTTACATTGAGACAGTATGTTTTAAATCTTGATCATTAATGAGGATTAAGCAACTTCTCTTTTTGTAAGGGAGCAGGGGCATGTAAGCACGTGATGAGGTGGAAGGGAGATATTTATTCATATCTTCCCTCAGTGAGGAGGGAAATCAGAGCGTGCAATAGGAGACTGCCAAGGCCACCTCCTCCTGAGAAACACACAGTTATTTAGTTCACAAATTTTACTTAGCAAACATTTCTTAACCATGTCATAAAGAAAAACAAATATTTCCATTTTCTTGAACTATTTTAAAACTGTCTCTCAATAAATTTTTTCTGCTAGTTTTATTGTGTCTTGCACATTCTTTCTGAGGTTTATTCCAATATATTTATGCTTTATTATTGTTGCAAGTATTAATGAAATATTTTCATGACATTTGCTACTTTTTAAATAGCAACTTTAAATAGAAAGTAGAGATAGAAAACTTTGCTACTAAGTTTTCCTTGCATTTTCATACACACACACATATGAAAATAACTAATTTTGTTTTTTTCTCTGGCCAGCTTTACAAACATTATATGAACATATTGGGTTGATTTTTTAAAATTTTTAGATAAACAAATACATTGCCTGTAAATAAAAAAGTTAAAGGACCTAAAATGTCAAGTCTAATGACCATATGAAGCAACTGCTGTTTGGTGTGTTAATTTGTACAGCTACTTTCAAAAACATTATCTAGGAAAGTTGAAAATATGCATGGCCTATGACCCAGTAAATACACTCTTGATTAACCTGAAAAGAATCATGTAAATCTGCATCAGGATGTAAGTAAAGAATATTCAGACCAACAATATTTGTAACCGTTGCAAACTAGAAACAACCCAAATATCCCTTAAAATTGTATGAATAATATGTTACCTATGCTTACACTAGGGTTGCTAATAACAATAAAATGTAAGAAACACAACTAAATGCACAAACATAATAGTGAGTAAAAGAACCTCCACTCAAAAGAAAACATATACCATTTATACAAATTTAAAAATAGGCCAAACTAGACTGGAGACATTTTGCTCAGCAACCTGGAGAGCTCCTGTGAAGCTTCAGGACCACGATGGGAAGTCATCTCCAGCTTGAGGGAAGAGTGTGTCTTCGCACCTTCCAGCTGCGGCCCGGCTCTCGCCCTCTCTCAGCACCTGAGGCTGACTCTGCCCAGGCCGGGGTTGCCCTGTGCTCACAGCCGACAGCTGGGGGCCAGCGCCCCTCCTCAGGCCTCCCACCGGGTGTGGAGAGGGACAATGTGCAGAGAGACCTAAGTGCCCCTGGCTGCAGCCTCTTCTCTCTTCTCTTTGGGCTTTCCTGGTGGCTCAGCTGGTAAAGAATCCGCCTCCAATGCAGGAGACCTGAGTTCGATCCCTGGGTTGGGAAGATTCCCTGGAGAAGGAAATCCCCCTCCAGAATTCTGGCCTGGAGAATTCCATGGACTGGACTGTATAATCCATGGGGTCACGTGGTCATGTGTTGTATAGTCAGACACGACTGAGTGACTTTCACTTTCTCTTTTCCCTTTACTTACACTCTGTACGTCTTTCATACGCCTTGGACTAGACTCGTTGCCCAGTGTTTGTCCTTCTCACTTCAGAATCAAGCTGGAACTAGGTACTTGGCTGGGGGCCCTCTGCCTAGCTCTCCTAACTCCTCCAGAACATACCCAACCACAGGATCCTACATTCTGCATCTGTCACCCTCAGA